CTTGGCGGAGCGAATACTGCTGATTTATAAATTAAATGGAGGTGCGCAAAGCAGATCAAGGTTCAGTGGCTGTGAGCCCATGTACTGCACCTCCTACGGGCCCAGAAGCTGCCCTTCATTCTCTTCCTCACTTCCTCCAACCTTGTCAGTTCTGGCCACGCAGGTGGCACTCTGATCAAAGCAAAAGAGCTCTCTTCTTCTTAGAAAAGAGGAAACAGGGTTCTTCCTTTCGCAAGTTAATATACTTAAAGCATCGCCTCTCTTGTTGAATTTTTCCTAATCCTTATTTGAAGTAGGCCCGTATGCCTTCACAGGGGGGCGTTTTCATTGGCAAAGAAACTGTCTTTTTTTTTTTTTTATCAGATGCAGAACTCTTTCTATTTGAATGAAATCTTTATAGGAAGAGGACATGCCTTTGGTGATGACATTCTCTCCCATAATCTGATGCTAAAACGCAGTGAATGGGTATTGCTTCCCATCACAAATAGCTATCGAAAAGGAGAAATTCTTTGGCATTGGATTCACTGCTTCGTGTAGATAACTACTGGAAACTTACGCGTGTGCATGTCCAACTTGCTGGGTGAAACCTTTGGATCTTTGAATCATACTGACCACCTGGAATATAAACGCGACACCACGCTCTGTGGATCGTCACCATCTCCCTGTTTCCCTCGGCAATGCTCTCTGGTTGTCTCACCACTTAATGAATGAAAGAAGAGGGAAAGGGAAGGAAAGGGGATGAAGAGGAAGAAGAGAAGGAGAGAGGGCAGGAAGCTCTGACATTCAGAGCCCCGCTCACTGTCTCACTTTCCAGCGTCTGCTGTTATCCTTCCTTCTGGGCTCATGCTCTGGGTCTCCAGCCAGCTGGTGATGAGAGTCCCAGGGACTTGACTGCCTTTTCTCCTGTCTGGTGCCTTCGGACAGAGAACTGCGGGACAAGGCCATCTTACCTTCGCAGTAGGATGTGAGAATTAAAACTGATCTCATTTCAGGCAGGCTCTGTGGCTCACACCTGTAATCCCAGCACTTTAGGAGGCTGAGGAAGGAGGATCACTTGAGGCTAGAAGTTTGAGACCAGCCTAGGTAACAGAGCAAGACCCCATCTCTACAATCAATAAAATAAAGGTGATCTCCATCCAATAGACACGAGGAACGCCATCAGTGATTATTTCCCCATGGCCATCAGGACCAGGACAAAAAGTCTGTTCTTTGGACTTCAGTCCTGTGTGACACGAGACTCAGGCTTCTTTTTCGCACCCACCTTAGGTCAGCCTGGCCTCAGCAGCTTCACAGAGAGTGGGGACCAACACCACCATGTTTACAGACATACCACAGCAGTGGTTTCTAACCAGGGGTGATTTTGCCTCCCTGGGAGATTGCTGGCAACATCCGGAGATAATTTGGGCTTTCACATCTTGGGGGCAGGGGGGTGGCACTGGCATCTAGTGGGCAGCAACAAAGCTGCTGTTTCTGTGCGCTCAAGAAACCACTTTCTGTCTCAGGCTCAGATTCCACTGAAAGGTATCTTGGCCCCCGGGGTGGTCAGGGTGGCAGGGACTTGAAGCCGGTCCAGTGCAGCCCGCAGAACGCTTCGGAAATGTCTGAGCACCGTAGACAGGCTTGGCCCAGGCTAAAGCTTCCGGCACATGGCAGTCATTGGCTTTCACTCCACCCGGTCAGGGCCCAGCCCCTGTGAACAAGGACACTCTGACCGGGCCTCATCGGCCCCTTACCCACTCACTGCTCAACTCCCCTCTGGACAGGCAGGGTGCAGTCCCAGCACTCCCCTGCGTACAGCCTGCTCCATTCCCATATCGTTCACTCCTTGCAGCCATTTCTTCTACCTCCATGCTCTTTCCCCAACCCCCAATCTCTGTCTTCATAACCATCGTGAACAATATCTACGGTTCGTCCACATCCCAGACCAGACACTGCATGACGGCAGAGCTGTGGGCCCATCTAGTCCCCTCCCAGCATGGCCGTCAATCCTCGCAACCATTATGGAAACCTTTCTAATGACTGGTCTGAAAAGGTTGGCTCTCCTGCCCCGTGTCACCTCCAGGCCCTGGCCTGACCACTCAGGACACCTGAGCCACTCCCCACACATCTCATTCACGCCCTGTTCATTCCCTGGTAGCCTCCAACTCAAATAGCTCTCCTTGGAGGATCCTCCATGTTTTTTGAGAATTGCCGTTCAGAATAAATTTTCTCCACTAGCAATGTCTTGAGGTCCATCAATGGGTGTCTAGGCTGCCTTACACATAGGAGACACTTGACAAGTATTTGCCACCTCGATTTGGCCATCAACAGGCTCGGCAAATGTCATGGCGCCGTATTTCTCTGTGTTATGATTGGCGCGTGTCTTGGCTGGCGCCGTATTTCTCTGTGTTATGATTGGCGCATGTCTCGGCTGTGCAGTGATTTTTTAGTTTCCATCATTACGGCTACACGGAGCTTTTTGTTATCACTGTCGTTTCATGCTATTTCACCAGAAATTTATAGCAGAGAGGAAAAAAGAAAACAAAACTCAGAGGAAGAAGGGATGAGATGGAATTCAGCATTGCAGCTGGCCTCAAATCTGAATTAAAACAAAAACAACAAAACATATCTCTGGTCCAAAGCTTTTAGTTATTTTTTATTATCCCTCAGAAACACTAAGTAAATTAAGCAGTAAGTGATTTAGCTCTTCTTTTGTATGTTTAAAAAATATTAGACTTGGATTTATTCTTCGGGAGCTTTAAATCTTTTAACTCAAAGGAGAATTAATTTCAGTAAACTGCCTTCAATGTGACGGTTGTGAACCACAGTCTGTTTATGTGCAAAATGGTACTTTTCCATCGAGTCTTTCTTTGAACTGATAAATCTCTCCTGAGCAGAAACCACCACCACAAAATGTCGCAAGCACTTGGTAGCTCAAAGTTCCTACACCGCGGCTCTGCAGTGGCAGCTGCATTTGCCAGCGCTGTGTAGCTGCAAGATTTTCACTAATTGCGTGGGGCCCCGGGATGTGTTTTGCTTTTGCAAGCTCTTTTGCAGACTCTGCCTTCCTGTTCCTCTGTCCCGACGTGCTCTCTCTCTCACACACAATGCAGAGGACAACTGTGTGTCTTTTATAATTCAAAACCAGAAAAGACCAGAACATTTTTAAGTAGTTTGAAAATTAAAAAAAAAAAAAAAAAAAAAAACCCAGCAGCTCTGAAAGACGTGTTCCTCTAACTCTTTCTTCTGGAAGGCTGCAATTGAATACATTTATGGGGAGAAGTGAGCCTTACAATCCCGAGAAAAGTAGTGGGGAGTCAGGAGAGTCTCAATCCAATTATTTGGCAGTCAACTTTGCCCCTCCAGTAGGTGAAACGGCAAAGCTGTCTTTAACCAGCTACCCAGGCACTGACAGCACCACAGCTTCACATCCATTCCCTGGGGGCATGATTGAAACCAAGAAATCTGTCATCAGGAAGGAAGTGGAGAACCGCTCTAGGAATAGCTGAGAAATGATGGTGAAGGGTTTTTGTCTCCCTTTCAACCCTGTAAACCTAAGTGAGCCCCATCTCTGATAGATGATTAAACACTTTGCATTCAGTGGCTGAAGGATAGTCTACCTATTAAATCTGTGATTCTTAGCAGAGGTATTTCTGCTAGTTGATATTGTTGGCTGCTGGGAGGGAGGTGCTGATAATGAGAAGGAAGTGGTCGTCGCAAGTTGGCAAAACTCCCAAGGAAGTTAAAAAACAAAACTTCTGTCAGCAACATTGCCTGCGAGATGGATGCCATCCTTTTTGAGATTAAGGAATCCAGTGAACAAACATCAGTCAATCACATTTACTCTGGAAAACGGTTACTCAATTCGGTGAAAGGAAAAACAACATCTCCCGGAGTTCTTGTCTTCCGTTCTGAAGGGGCATGGAGAGGGGACCAGGTTTCCTCCTCATCTTAGATGGATCCTTTGCAGAATTCATGCTAATAAAGGTTAACCTGTTTCTCTTTATTTCGGTCATGAGTTATTAATGTCTGGTACCAGTCACCTATAAATTTTAAAGCATTTTGCACAGCAGCACCTAACACCATGGTATTTTGTCCACCAGGGATGTTGGGGTCTTCACAGCACACTCGGTGTGATTATGGAAGGTATCATCGTGTCTGTTTACGAGATGTGTTTTCTTACCATCGTTATGGCTTTTACGTTTCCCTCACTTCACTTGGAATAACGTCATCTCCTATCTATCTGGGGATAAAAGATGATTATCTTTTTGTTCAGAATCCACTAAACTAATACGGTTCCTCTGTTTGTTGCTAAGCAACCAAGCTGGGTTACCGGGAAGAGGCGGACTCCACTGACAGTTACCTGCTCCCTTCTGATAACTGCAGGGACAGAGTTTGCCTGGAAGGGGGAAGAGCTCTTAAAGACTTAAGGAATTAAAAAAACAAAACAAAACTATCCAAAGGTTTGCCTAAGCTTTCTATCCTAGATAAACAAATGATGACAAATGCACCCAATAGGTTACGAATTGGTAACAAAAGGAACAACACACACAGGCAGGAACACGAATGAAACTCCGACGCATTAGAAAGAACCCGACACAAAGGAGTCCCTCCTACACATTCCGGCTCATGTCTGTAAAACTCCAGAAAACGCAAATCGAATCTAAAGGAACAGCAAGTGAGCAAGGGCTGCCGGGGGCTGGGGACCGGTACCACCGGAGACAGTGTGAAAGGAACTTGGTATGGTGGAAATGTGCCATCATCTATAGCTTTATTTTCATGGATTTGTAGTAAAATGCATTTTAGCTACATGTACAGATTGCATAGTGGGGAAGTCTGTGCTTTCAGTGTCACCATCCCCTGAAAGGTGTACATTGCACCTGATGGGTTATTTCTCATCCCTCACACCCATCCCATCTTCCCACCTTTTGTGGTCGCCAGCATCGGTTTTTCCACACTGTCCATGTGTACCTATTCTTTAATGAGAACATGCAGTATCTGACTTTCTCTTTCTGAGTTACTAAAATATGGAACACATCACAAATTTGCAAGTCATCCTTGCATAGTCATCATGCTAATCTTCCCTGAATCTTTTTTTTTTTTGAGACGGAGTTTCGCTCTTGTTACCCAGGCTGGAGTGCAATGGCACGATCTCGGCTCACCACAACCTCCGCCTCCTGGGTTCAGGCAATTCTCCTGCCTCAGCCTCCTGAGTAGCTGGGATTACAGGCATGTGCCACCATGCCCAGCTAATTATTTGTATTTTTAGTAGAGATGGGGTTTCACCATGTTGACCAGGATGGTCTCGATCTCTTGACCTTGTAATCCACCCGCCTCGGCCTCCCAAAGTGCTGGGATTACAGGCTTGAGCCACCGCACCCGGCCTCTTCCCTGAATCTTTACAATTCTAGTATATGTGGTGCTGGAGAGAACACCCCATCATTTATATCTTCATTGTGGCTGAGATTGCACAGATACAAATCAAGAAGCCATTTCAATGGATTTTTTGTATGTAAATTAATAAAGAAATGAAAGCTTTTAGTGTGCAACAGTTTATTATGACTAAGCGAAGATTTAGTTGTGCTGTTTTTAAGGTTAGGAAGCCTTTTCCTATTGAGATTCATTGTTTTACAGAGAAAGGAAATTCACGTCACATAAGTAAAGTGCAACTTCATTTTTAAAGGAAGAATGTCACTTTTTAAAAGGACATTTACTTGAGAAGTATTACAATTGACATTTCTTCCTTGGTTGCTTTTTTCCTGTCATTTTAATTTTTATTAAAATTATACAGGCAAATAATTTAGAGCATCCTACTCCTTGAAGCAACTACTTTCAATTCTTTTCAGCTGTTTCTTTGGAATTAGTTTTACATTTTTAGTAAAATGTTTATACTACTGCTTTTTTACTTTTCCGGTTTTGCTGTGTTGGTTTCTAACTTTAGAAATTTAGTATAGAATATTCCCTTCTCACCCTCTCTGCTTCTCTCACCACACACACACACACACACACACACACACACACGCACCCTGGTTCCCTGGTTCCTTGTCTTCCAAATGTAGTTATACCATAAATTTGTTTAGATTTGGTGTTTACCTTTTGTGTCTGTGTAAATGCCATTTGTTGCTACTGTGGGTATTAAACTAGGATTACTTTTCCTTCCCTACACAGCTTTTTGTTTTCCCCGGAGTTAATAGGTGCCGGGTTTTGTTTTGTGCTGTTTTTTTGTTTGCTCAAAGGTCACTGCACACCTACCATCCTGGATCTTCCTCCACTATCATCCTGTTGACTTTATTCACCTCTCATGGGACTGACGCAGCTGTGTGCTGGATCACATGTCTTCCGAAAGTCCCTTTAAAGGGATAAATGACAAGTCTGCACAACTACAAACAGGAACACTGAGACCAATAAAAAGACACAAGCTGGCATGAAATAAGAGGTTTATGGTCCAATTTGCTGTTAAAAGTCATGTCCTTGATCTGCAATGGAAAACTGCAAGAGCACAGATAGCACAGGGAGTGGACCTCAGCCACTGAACAAAAGCCACAGCATGAAGGTTTCACGTTCCATGAAAAGACTCTGGACTTACACCTCTCATGCCACTGGAATGTCCTCTAATATGTTTCCCAGTCTCTCCCCGCATTCCTGCACCCTGTAACCAAAGGAGAAATGCTCTGCTGGTTACCGCAGACAGGGACGTGCTGAGGGGCCCTGAGCAGACGGGACCTTAGGTGACCCGGGTGCCTTTGCATAGAAGAACTTCTCTCATAAGACGGTTTATATTTATATTTATAATTGGGAGTCACCAGAAACAACTAAAGTATCTGACAACAGAGGGGCAATTTCTAAAGGCTGCTTTAAAATATATATATGTATATTGCACTTCAGACACAATCTCTAAGCATCACAACAAACCTGCAAGGTAGATATTTGCATGAACATTTTACAAAAGATGAAACTGAAGTGCAGCAGGAGAATGCGACCTTCCCAAAGCCATTTGGCAATGAAAGGATATGAGTTTAATTCCAAAGCCAGGACTTGCTACCCTGTATGATGCTGCAAGACGGGCAAGACTTCCTTTGCAGGCCTCCTGCCCTAGGATTACGGTTTGGTCTCTTGAGGTGAGCGACACTCAGCAGATACATTCATTTTTAGCAACCCGTGAAGCAAGCAATTGGGAACTCCTAAAGGCTACACTAGCCAGGACTAAGCACTTTAAGTAGGCAAAGGGGCAGATGCTCAGAAAACCAGTGAAGGTGAGGAGGACACCGACAGCGTTTCCAGGGCTCTGAGTTAAAAAGGCAAACAATCCAGGTCCTGTCCAACCTCACAGCACAAGATTTTCTAAACTGCATGCCCTTGACTGATAGAAACCCTGCAAAATACGTTCTAAGTATCACTATTTTGAAACTTGAGAGGGCTGCAAAAAAATGCCGATGGCTCACATCCAAGAGAATTTTCAAGACACCACAGAAAATATAACAAGAGCTCAAACACAGAGATTTTTCCATTAAAAAGTACAGTGTGTAGCAGCTTGTGAATCTTTAAAAAAAAAAAAAAAACCAGCTGTTGCTTTGGCTGCCATTGCCATCATCTTGTTTCCTAACCGTGGCTCAGTAGAAGAGATGAATCTTCAAAGGTGTACTCTGAAATCAATCTACACGGGAACGAAGACTAAATCAGAGAACACGTGGAAGAGCGGGTCATTATGCTTCACTGTTTCTGAAGCAGTTAGGCTGCCAAGAGCCACGCAAGCCATCCGAGCCACAGTTCGAAGAAGAAGCCTCACTTGGTCAAAGTTTAGAAGGAAAACAACACACAATTGGCGATTCTTTGCAGATTTACCTATATTAGCAGTGATGAGACCGAAATTAAGGTTTTACACCTTGATCACAATTCTTAAAACAATTCACACTAAAATATAAACTCCCAAAAATGCATTAATATGCTATCCCTTCATGGGCATTTATGTTAAGGCAAAGATGAAACCTCTTGTTGCAGAATCTCAGATAGGAGAGAGTAGAATCTGAATCCCGAGCTAGGAAGGACCCGAGAGGTCATCTCTTCCAGCTTCCTCATTTTATAGACACCTTGGGCATAAAGGTATAGGTAATTAGCAGGTGTTAGAATTGAAATTTCCTGACTCCCCACTTCTGGGTTGGATCCACCTCACCAAGCCATCTCTTTCTATGGGAGTGGAGGTTTTGCCTTGTGGCAGTAGGGCCTGTGGCATCACAGGACCAAAACAGAATAAACCCTAAAGTCACACGGGGATTTGGCAGGATCGGGTAGAGTTGGGAGGGTTTGACAACCTCACAGGGAAACTGAGCACAGAAATCTTTCTGAAGGCTCTGCCATTCCACCCAACCTTTCAGGTGGTAAATAGGAAAGGCCATTTTGAAGCAACACTTTGGCTTTAAGAACGTTGAACTGTAGGCATTAGAAAATCCTCCTCCGTGGTCTTTGGGCTATGATACATTTTATGTGTTGGAAAACAACTCAAAATTATTAGTACATAGATCATTTGAAGAGTTAATCATTTCTGCAATTTTTACTCTCCACATTAAAAGTTTAAAAAAAATACGTGTCCATTTTTTTTTGGTAAAGGCTCAATTTAATATATAGACCGGTTAACAAAAATGGTGAGCTAAATCTGCACAGACAGCCTCATAATTGCCTGTCTTTTCCTCTTTATATTTTCTTTTCTATCTTTTGTTCTTACTTAGGTATGAACTGTTATTGCTTGCAATAAGGAGGACTTACCTCACAATTATTTCTAAGTATTCTTGTGGGGGATTCAAAATTTTGAAAAAAAAAGCAGTGAAAATTATTCCCTCACTTGGATATAATTTTGGGAAGGTTATGGGGAAAAGTGTGGGCAACACTATCTTGCCTGAAGCTTGAATAGTTTAAGGCAGAGAAATGTTATCATGGTAGTAACGCAAGGAAAATTAGATTTCTACTTCTCACAGCAAGATTGGATCCCAGGGAGAGGGGAAGCTAAGAGGCCTTAGTTCATAAGCTCCACTTGGCGTACTATGACATAGCTTTATATACACCTTTGCTTTTGGCAAACTTGGCATTCCTGACCTCTGACCAGGCATGTTCGCTATGAGCCAGGCATAAGGAGACAGTAGAGAAAACAGACTCTGCTCAGGCTGGGCATGGTGGCTCACGCCTATAATCCCAGCACTTTGGGAGGCCAGGGCAGGTGGATCACTTGAGGTCAGGAGTTCAAGACTAGCCTGGCCAACATGGTGAAACCCCATTGCTACTAAAATTCAAAAATTAGCTGGGTGTAGTGGCCTGCACCTGTAATCTCAGCTACGTGGTCGGCCGAAATTGCAGCAGTGCACTCCAGCCTGGGCGACAGAGCGGGAGTCTGTCTCAAAAAAAAAAAAAAAAAAAGGCTCTGTTCAGCAAAATCTCAAACATACATCCCAACACTCAGCCAGCCCTTGTACCTGGAAAGAGAGGGCAGCAGGAGAAACCCCAAGGGAAATAAAGACTAACTTTGTCTATTTGCAGGTTTGCGTTGGGCTCTGGTTACTGCTGAGAGGTACCAAAACCTGCACGAAAATATTAAGACCAGGTTGGAAAATTGAAATGCGTTACCAGGACCACTTCAGTTCCGTTTTCCTCTGCTTCTAAGGAAGAGAAAGACTGGAGTGAGAGGAAAAGAGCAAGAAGGAGGATGCGTACGAGTTCCTGACATCGGCCTTCGCAAGTGGCCCCTATGTGCGAAGTAAAAAGATGAATGAGACACAGCCTGTCTGGAGTAATGTTGTATCTGGTGAGCCAGATTCTCTCACAATATATCCCTGAGAACAAGGGGAGTAAAGGGACACAGAAGTGCCTTGATAGTGCTCAGGACACAGTGTGTGCTCCAGAAGGGTTTGTTAAATCTCCACACATGGCCGGGCGCGGTGGCTCAAGCCTGTAATCCCAGCACTTTGGGAGGCTGAGGCGGGTGGATCACAAGGTCAAGAGATCGAGACCATCCTGGTCAGCATGGTGAAACCCCGTCTCTACTACAAATACAAAAAATTAGCTGGGCACGGTGGTACATGCCTGTAATCCCAGCTACTCGGGAGGCTGAGGCAGGAGAATTGCCTGAACCCAGGAGGCGGAG